AAGGATCGACCTTCTCAAAAGATGAACCGTTGCTATGTTACGGCGTCAGTAATTAATTTTCTCTTTGTGAATATTCTTGTTTTTTTTTTCTTTTCTTTTCTTTTCTTTTTCTTTTTTTTTTTAATTCTATAATGTCTTTGTGCTTTATAATTACGGAAGTGATTTCTTTGTCTCGTGCCTCACCTGACGATTTAATTCGCGCTTCTCTGAAAAGGGCCGTGATTTATGACGATAATAATGTAATCAAAAGATAATGATCCACGTTCTCGAGCAGAAACCATAAAATTACGAATACTGTAATCATAATAACGGCGAGATAGACACGGAGCGGAAAGAGGGGCGACTTGCCGGTGTAATTTACGGCCCAGCCAGGTGCGTCAGAAGTTGCTCACCTTATGACCTAATTGGGTTTAATTACATCTGGCTGAAAATTACGGCGATGCGCGCGTAATACGCGCCCCGGCTAGATTACGATTACCATCCTCGTGGCAGTCGATTTAAGTTTGCATTGTAATCGGTTTACCTTTACTCCTCGCTAACTGACATAATACCCCCATTGATATCCCATTACATTGTATACGAAAAAGAATTTTATTCAACTTTCAATTCCGCCGGTGTTTCTCTCCTTTTCCCTGGTATATCTCGTGTCGCGAAATGTCGCGTTTTATCGCACCGCCATCGATTCGCGGCCATCCGAGACAAATCTCAGAGTGTTTCGGTCACTCTAGCCGACCGCATCATCGTCGTCGTCCATCCGGATGATTGTTGATCTCACGATACTGTGTGAGCATCAATCGATCGCGAGATGCAGCCCGGTGTCAATAACCCGATATTCCCCGATGCTGCTGTCGCAATACCGCCAATCCCGAGATTAACGGTATTAATAATCGATCCCCCGCCTGCGTTATCGCGAACCGAGTTAGCGTACCTCCAAAACGAATTACGTCAATGCATCAATATCGCGATTTCATTTCCGATAAAGCGCTCGTCGGTCCATCCGTCCGTCCGGTCGGCCCGAGCCGGATACGATATTACCGGATTAATTAATAACGCGTTTAATAACCGAGCGCGTCACGCCGCTCATAATATTTGTAATTCGATAAATCGGGCTGCGGCCCGATCGCCGGCGGGACCGACGTATCCGAATTCCGGAGAGCCGGACAGAGTGCAACGATACCGAAAGAATTCCTCGGATATTAATCGACAATCGACCTGGCCACCGATTACAGACGCGTCCGATGTCACCCGTTGCCGTGCCTTGCAAAATACGAAGGTACTTCCCTCCCCCTCGCTTTTTGAAACTCCTGGCAAATTTTCAAGGCATCCCTCCAAGGTGCCATTTCTAACCCACATATTTGCGTGAAATTGTGTCGTTTGGCTTTGCGTGTCGTCATCGTCGCCGTCGTTCGCGTCGCCTCTTTTGTAAATTCAATTACGTTCTGCTCTTTTTCTTTCTTTTTTTTTTACGGAGACTGTAAGGCTTCCAGAAGTTGCGCCGCCGCCACGATTTATTCGCGACGTTCTCGCGCGAGTCTTCTCCGAATCACGTTTCGTTTCGATATTTTCTCGACGTTGCAACACGCGAGAAAAAGTTTGAAAATTTCTTTTCGAGCACGTAGCAGCACGCGCGGTTCGTAGCGTTTTCTCTCGGTCGCGAGCGACGAGAAGTAGGTTCGCCAATTAGCGGCACGTACGTGAAATTATCGCGATTATTATCGGGTAATTAGCGGAGAAGTCGGAATACCGAGTGTGTATCGATGCGTTCGATTCCTAACAAAGATTATATAACAAACGTGATGCAATAACGTAACAATAACTCAGACTTAATAATCGTGCAATCCTCGTCGAAGAAAGACCGCTAATATGAAGAACATCTCGAACAACATCTGCGATCAAGAAAGTAGCAGAAAGGTTGAACAAAAGGGAGGGAAGTGACAGATGTCACGCAGCTGCACCTGCGAAATACAATTTTAGACTGCCAACTAACGAGAATGCACTTTAATAATTATTTTATTAAATCGTAAAATTTCTATAAAAATAATAGAAACATTTTGATACTTATGATAGATTTCTTCATTATTTATAAAAAATTCGATCTTTCGATGTCTTTATGAAATCACGATATCCGTTAAATCGATGGAAAATAAAATTGCAACTGTACGATTATACTAAATTTAAAACTTAAACGGGGAAACGATAATGCCATTCTCCTTGCGTAAACATTTTTATTCCCGCTCGTCCTAAACTTTTAGCATCGAAGTCCCTCGAACGAAGTCAAGTCGACCTCGATACCGAGGAAAAGTTTCCGCTTACGGGCTCACGTAGCCGGTTATAATCCCGGCGATTAAAGGCCTCGAAGTCTAGAATCCGTATTCCTTGAGTATGTTCAAAGGGAACGGTGGCCGTTAGGTACCTTCTCTAATGCCCGAACGATACTCAGGAGAGGCAGCTGGCGTTAGTCAGCAAACCGCTCGACTAATCCCTTAATTACTTCGACATGGTTAGCGGCCCTGTACTAACCACGTCGGTGCCTGGCACTGTTCCCCGATCGTTAATTAAAATTCCTCTACCTTGCAGCCGCGCGCAACCCCCCATTCGTGAAGAAAGAGTGCGTGCACCCGCGGCAAAAGTGCAGTCTCGGACCGAATGTTAACCGAATGTTAAATTAACCCGTTTTAACAGCGTTTGAAATCTCGCTCGAAATTATTGCCGCGCAACTTGTAATGAATAACACGAAATAAAAATGTTAATAAAAATTATGATTTGACATGACGATTTAAGTTGAACCATTGAAAGTTGTTAATTATTTAAGAATACTTGCATTCCTATTCTATATTTTGCTTTAATTAACAGATAAATGCATAAAAGGAATTGGAGGCTCAGCTTAACCCTTAAATGCTCGAATAATGCTTTGCGACGAAGTAAGAATATTGAAATGATTTGCGTGAGACATTTAAGGGTTGATAAATGAATGAGCGACATCCGACATACGATCGCGGCAGGCATTGTCATTATTGTCGCTGCGATACATTTCACTTGTAATGCGTTGTTTGAACAATGCTGATTCAGGTACGGCTGCGAGGGTGTGGCGGAGTCCGCTCTCGTCGACGACACCCTCAACGGGAATCCCCGCTCGTCGTCCTCGTCGTCGTCGAGCGCGATCCTGCCTCAGTCTCACGCCCTTCAGTCGGGATCCGCGGGATCGATCGACGCTGCGGACACTTCCGGGTCGAGAAAGTACGTACGAACGCACCTCCCTCGTGGTCTCGTGGCATATCCAACTCCCCTTGCAGATGATGATTCCGCTTGCCAGTATCGTCCCGTCGCTTCTCTCTTTTGTATGCCCAAGTTGTTGCTTTTATTTGTTTCGCTGTGAACAAACGAAATGAAACGTCCCATTCTCGCATACGGACAAGTGTGAACCCCCCGCGTTATTTCGCGTTGTTCACGATGCCGTTCACGGATGCGGCGAATGGATGAATATCCACGAGCGAGGGAAATTCCGGCTGGCATCCGAAAGACCACCAACATTTTGCTTGCTTTGATTTGAACCACGACGTGTATCGCATGTTTCCCACCACGAAAATCTACCTTGTCGCGCCTGTTGTAAGAACGTTGGATTTACTTTTGGAATGCACGATTTGCTCCCGCGATACGCGCGAACGACAATACAAGAATGCGTACCTCGAGACACAATTTTCCACAATTTTCTCCGCTTAGCTTCGCGAATTTCTATCTACTTCCGTGCGACCGCCGATCTCGCGCATTAGAAAGTAAAATAAAATTTCGCGTCCCGCCGGTAGACGTCGAATTTGTCTCTTGTATTACAAAATAAAATAGAGGATAGAAACGTTGCTCTTGCCTGCACAACTCTTGTTTTTAAAAATCCTGTTCACGATAAAAGCGAATAGCCAGATCGCGAGTGTTGGCTCGTATCGAATCTGCTTCGTATTCCGCGTGAAATTATTATTATGATGATAACAATCTCATATTTCGACGTTATTACAATACGTGATAAATGAGCTATGATGAACAGAGTTCTGAATGATTGGGAACCATTGAACTGTTTGTTACTTAACATTATTACACATTGTGTAAAACCGAACGTAGATCGAGCAGCAAACGCGAACAAACACGAACGAGCATGATTGCATTTATCAATATTCAGTTGCGACCAATCGCGTTCGGACTTCTAAAATTTCTCTTAAACTCGGAAATTATTTCGCACAACGTTCCGGTTACGTTCGACGTCTCTTTCCCCTCCCTCCGGATGTGCGTTTGACAGACACCTGTTACAAGATCTCCCCTCGCCACGATTTATCCCCTGGTCGTTCCAACTTCGCGCCGAGGCCTTCAGCCCCTCCGGCGAACGCGCACGGTACATAATTTTACATCATTTCTAACTAAAGCGAAAACATAATTTCTCCTCGCCCTCTCGCAAAGGACGTTTTATTTTACAGCCGCCGTAAATAATCTCCTGCTAGCCGGCGGCCTCGTGTCGCGCCGGCCCGGCTTCGATTAACACGCGAGGATTTCTCGTGGTTGAGCGATAACACGGGAGGGGGGACGGGGGGGGCGATAGTCGGTGAAGGATCGATGGCGGTTTACGAGCGAGACGACACGGCCGATCAGACGATCTAACGAGCGGAAATCAATTTGTCGTATCGCGGTCGACGATGTAGCCCTACGGCCGAATGCCCGAGGAAACGGCCGAACGATTCGAGCCCGATTCGAGACGAACACGGCCGGACAATGACGCGATAAATCAAGCCCGCTTATTTCGGCGATCGTGATTCGCCATGAAATGTCGTGAACTGAAATTCCTCGAAGTCACGCAAGCGCGATCGCAATCGCGCTCTCGTCAGAAATTCCGCGATATAACGCGACGAGAGAAAGAGAGAGAGGGAGGAGGGGGGGGGAGAAGAGAATTTCAGTGAATAACGTCGTCGCGTGTGACCGCCTCGTGACGCTGCAAGACGAATTTAAACGAATCGAACGCAGTCGAGCATATGAGAATTGTGTCATATTAAATAAAATTAAATGCGGAAGCGGATTGATAAGAATGGACGATTTCTTCGAGGTCTTCGCGTATCGTCGTGATGGAATTTGTAGCTTGCACTGTATATTACTGCTGATTTCCTTGTTGAACAAGTAAGAGCTGCGATTCCCTGTTTCTGCTGCAGTACTTGCAATCAGTTTGTACAGTTGTAATTTTCACAAGATTTACATGCCAGCTTTGATTTTTATGATTTTGTATTTATTAAAAATGCATGTAAAAGATGCGGAACAAATTAAAACACATTTACAAACGTACGTTCTAAGTAGATTTGGAGAAAATTTGCTAAGCACTTTTTTTACGCTTCTTTTTTGCGATAGCCGTAACAAAAAAAAATGTGAGTGCGCTTACGTTTGAACGTGAGATAGCCAGACGACACAGAGACATCTCTAAAGGACATTTACGTTCTCGAAATCTTCCTTAGAGACGTCTTTTGGCCTCTAGACTTTTGTGTTGCTTGAGTACTCGGTGAATATCGCGGCGATAGCACGATCGAACCTCCGAAATGAACCGAGATCCCCGTTTCTTGACCCTGGTTTTTCTTGACTTTGCACCACAGTTATTGCGAGAAACCCGACAACGAGACCGCAGAGATGGGCGGCGTGCCGCACGTGGAGGGTGGCTTGAACAGCGAGCTGTACGCAGTTCCGGTGAAACGGCGACAGCCGAAGGACCAGAAGAACAATGCGATTTTGCAGAACAATATCCAGGAGAAGCCGGCGGACGTGGATAGCACCGATTCCGAGGACAAGGACGAAAATCTGCCGCCTGGCTGGCAGAAGCACGAAGGTAAAGAGTTGCGCCAAACAGGAAATAAAGGACAGGATTGTTTCGGATAAATGACGCGATTGCTTCATTTTCGTTTCCAATATGAATCTGCTTTTAATTTAATTTAATTGCTATGATTGTTTTAAGAACACATCAGGAAGTGATAAATTCTTTTGAGAAATTGTGTAAAATATGTTAATTATATATTCAAATACAAATGGGGTGGAAATGAAGGGGAAGGTAACGCGAGATGAAAATTTTCTAAAGTTTTATCAAATTATTTTCGAAAATCGAACATTTTCTTGGAAGTTCTTGGATGCTCGAACATGGCGATCGATAATGGAATGTCGGAAAAAGCTCATATTTAACACAGCCATGCGATTATCTGACCATGATAGAATGGAATGCGATTTTCATATCAAACCGGTATTTCCGGAAACGTGGCAGAGATTTAGATAAATACTCGGTAGAAAAGAAATCGCTGAAGTTTGAGATAACGTAATATAAAAATAAACTCAGTTAAAGATATTTTTTTAATAGACGGAATGTTTGCTTCTTCCAATGTTTGCTTCTTCCAATATTTGCTTTTTCTCTTAGACTCGTTATTTCAATTTCCTATATTTTTAACTTTTATCTTTTTTAATTAGTACAACAGATAAAGTTTGAAAATTAGTATCAATCATTTTAAGTGGTATTTTAAATAATAGCTTAAATAATAACTTCCGAATTTCATTAACGATTGATCGGATGTTTATTTTAGATGAAAATGGACCCTATTATTGGCACGTTAAAAGCGGAAACATTCAGAGGGAACCGCCGGAGGCTCCTCTGCATTCGAAAACAGAAGCGCGCCGAAGTCTCGTCAAGGATAATGACAGCGTGAGTAAAATATCCTTGAAACATATTATTAATAAAATAATTATTAATAAAAATTATAAAAGTTATAGAAATTATTGTTTGCAATTGTAACGTTGCAGATAAACAATTTTCACACTTTGAGTGGCATGGTGAACACGGTGACTCGCAGCAACACGAGCTCGGCTCTGGACCAGGAATTGGAGAACAAGAGAAAAGTGGAATTGGCGCTCAAGTAAGCAAACGTATCTCCGATTGTTTTCTGCGGCGATCGCTATTGATTGTACCTCTATTTGTTTATTTTTTCAGACGAAGAAGCTATCCCGCTAGAGCGGACTCCGAGGGCAGGGATAAACCAATCAGATTCGCCGTGCGATCTTTGGGTTGGACGGAAATCGCGGAAGAGGATTTAACACCTGAGAGGAGCAGCAAAGCTGTCAACAAGTGCATCGTGGATCTCTCCCTCGGTAGAAACGATCTTCTGGACGTCGTTGGACGATGGGGCGATGTAAGTTTCTTTTAGAAGTAGATTAAATCTGCAAGGATTAAATAGATTAAATTAAGCAATTAAATTATGAATCTAAAATACATGATATGACTTGTAGAAATATATTTAAAATTTGTAAAATATATTTAGAATTTTTAATTCCTCAAATAGTTAGCAATTTCAATTTTGCTGCGCAGTAAACACGCGATGAAAGATATATTACGAAATATTTCAGGGTAAGGATCTATTTATGGACTTGGACGAGGGTGCGCTCAAGTTGATCGATCCGGAGAATCTCACTGTACTAAACACACAGCCTATTCATACGGTTAGAGTGTGGGGCGTAGGAAGAGACCACTGTCGGTGAATAAATTATTAATTAACTCTCTAATTAATTAAAGCACTCAATTTCTTTTCGGAATTCACGGCTTTTAAAATATTTAATTTTTAGAGATTTTATTAATATTAAATATTAAATATTATATAACTAATATATTTATCATTTTCATAAATGTCTTCTCTTCTTTGGACGGATTTCTAACAGCGAAAGGTGAATATGCAATGATATAGATTATTATGCGATATGAAAAATACAATTAAAATGAACATTCTCAATTCGATAAACGTTCGATTCTAAATCCGTATTACTTTCAGGGACTTTGCTTACGTGGCAAGAGATCGATCAACCAGGAAACACATGTGCCATGTGTTTCGTTGCGACATACCAGCGCGCACGATTGCAAACACACTCCGTGACATTTGTAAGAAGATAATGATCGAGCGTTCGCAGCATCAGAATCTCGCGAAACCGGTGGACATTAACGGTCGGACGAGTCTCGCTACAAGACCCACGAATCTGCCTACTGAACATCGACGCTTCCACAGAAACGGTCAGGCACTAGTCAGTAAGTAGCCAGTAAATAAATTAGATCTTTTGTTTTACTATCCTTTTAAAAAAGTATTTATTGCGTGGGTTAATTTATAAAAAATATTTATAAAAAATATCCTGTTTAATAAATCAATAAAAACAGGTAGAGATAAGAAATGTAGTTATTAGAATTGACAGCTCAAATAAAAGTTAAATAATTCTTATGTTATATCTATGCACAGCACAATCGTTCCCAACTCCAATGGAGGAACCGAAGAAAGTATTGCGAGCGCAATATCTCGGATCCATGCAAGTCACTCAGGCAACCGGCATGGAGGTACTGAACGAAGCGATAGAACATATCGTGGCAAACACGCCGATCAATCAATGGCGAAACGTCAACGTCGCCGTAGCTCCTAGCATGATTTCTATTCTTACACCAAACGTAAGTAAATTTAAGATGTCAGCATCCGAGAATTGAAAGAATGCGATCAGTGATTCCTAATGATCTTAATCCTCTTAGGACGACAAGCTTATCACCGAATGTCGAGTACGCTACCTATCATTCCTCGGTATTGGCCGCAATGTGAAGCAATGCGCTTTTATTATGCACACCGCACAGGATTTATTCATTGCACATGTCTTCAACTGTGAACCCAGCAGCGGAGCCCTCTGCAAGACGATTGAAGCCGCTTGCAAGGTGAGAATCTTTTCTCGAAATATCTTAGATATCTATCTGGATAAAGGATGATATCAAATGAGAGTACTTTTCTGTTTTAGCTGAGGTACCAGAAATGCTTGGACGCACATCCGCAGGGCTTCAGAAATGCTAGTAGTCTCAATACTCCAAGCGGCAGAGGTTTAGGCGCAACTTTAAAATCTCTAGTTGGATCCTTGACTGGCCGCAGGAGCAAGCAGGGCGAGTCCTGAGACGAGGCTCTCTCGCTGCAGGTAAATTATTTTCAGATTATTAAGACATACATAGTCTCTTCAGTATTAAAAAATTTTCTCAATAGTCAATAATCTTTATATCAAGCCTATTAATTTTAATTAAAAAATGTACATATATTTAATTTTTTTATTACAAGAATAAATAGAGTATTATTTGGAATAGAAAAATTTAACAAATGGCTGGATATTTTGGATTATGATCAGATCAGTCCGACTGTCCGCTAGGAACTCTGGCCACTGCCTGCTGAGCGAGAGGTGATCCGACATAGGCATCTGCAGTCGCCGTTGACTCTCAAGTACTTCGGCGGCTCACCGCCGAGCGCGTCCCTCAAGTCGCTGCTCTCGCCCTCCCTGGACACCAGACGTATCCAGCTCGCTCGTTGGGAAAGCAATCCTTAGAGGAAACATGAAATTTGATATGCCGAGAGGCAGCCGTAGGGCGAATGGATATTCTCTTTACAATGTAAACGACTGAATTTCGCAAAAAAAAATTGCGCAGAGTGCTATACCAATACCACAACTATAGTGGACTACGCTTACCTATGTCGATATGATGTTATGTATGTTAATGCAATGAGTCCGAAAAGGAGGGAGAGTGTCGCGAACTTGCCACGTTCTGTCAATAGGCAAAAATGACATCGGGATGCATCGATCCTGTTGCAGAAATCCTTAGGAGGCAGTGTATACCAGCTTGTGAGCAGCAGCATTTTCAAGAAATCAATGAGAAAGAAGTTCGAGAAGGGGGAGAGGGGAAAAAAACAAAGGAATCGGAAGAATTTTGAAGAGCAAAATCGTCTGTACATATAAGATGGTGATTATCGCGCTAAATTTAATCAACTCGCTTGCTCGTGCGGGTGGGAAGGAAGAACCCGCCATTGGGATCTCACAAGCGAATCAAGTTGTATGCGTGTTGGAGAGTGAATGAGCTCTGCAATTAGTGTAGTAAGCGTATATCCGCGAAGGCATTCGAGGTGATTCGAGAGGAGCCATAGAGAGCTTGCGTATATATGAATATAATATATAGTACACATACACACACACACATGCACACGTACATATATTCATACGTGCGGTGTACAGATTAGAAGAGCAAGACGAGGGCAACGACCGGATTGCACAAAGTACATATGTGCACGAGTGCAGAGAAGAATTTCCGCACGCGCGCACACAGCATACACATACATACATATATATACGTATATATATGTATGCACATGCGTGCATATAGACACTGGCCAGCACTGCAACTCTTATACCGGGTATCCCATGGACGTCGCCGCGTTTTTCTTATTTCGACGATGATGCATTAGGAGGAGCGCGACGGGTCCGAAGACACCCCGCAGATACACACGCGCACATTTATACGACGGCCGGATAGGGAGTTTATTTTTTATGGCGAATTAATAGGAGCTTTAGGGGAGAGCTTTGCAGTACCTCGGAGATCACGAAGCCGATACGACAAATACTTATACCGCGACCGTCCTTTAGACTTCAGCCAGGATTGGGGGAGGGAGGGGGGGGAGGAATGGCACTTAAGCGAGAGATCAGTGGTGCGCGACAATATCAAAGCTACACGTAATCGTAGTTGACCGTTGTACGTGCAACAAAGTTACGCAACACTCAGAAGACGTGCGGTAATAACTTAAACCGAGAGTATCAATGTCGGTATCAATAATTATTATCGTCGGTGATAATTGTTATTCCCGTAAGCGCGCACGCTAAATATAATAATTGTTACCGCTAGGCGCATCATAGCACGATGAATTGCAGTTAAAAAAAATCGTATGCATATCAGGTCATTGCAGTTTCTCCGGTCGCTACGCAAAGTATAGAGATGCACACTCGGCACGTGCGTGCTCGTACGAAGATGTCATTACGAGAGAAAAACGACACGTACGATCCAAGACTTATTCTCACAGCATCTAGACACACGTTCCACATACGTAGAGACATACCAGCTGTGAACTGCACTTCGCACTAGTGATCGCCGCTGTCTCGTAGACTTTAGATAGCTGAGAACGTAACTCCAGGCACGTTTCTATGGTAACACTTACAAATTCGATCGCATCGCACCGCGAGAACACACGATACGTATACATTTGGAACACGCGTGCGTATTGATAACGATCATATGTAAAGGAGACTCACTGCTCTTGCTGACACGGATACGGAACACGAACGATTGAATGAAACATGTGCTCCCTATAATACGCGTCTAAATTTGTATTTTAACTTTCCCCTTGATTTGTTTTCATTTTATACGGTAGTCATAAAAAGAAGTAGCTTAATAATTTTGATGATTAATGAATCATACGTTAAACCTTCCATCCCATCTCCCATCTCCCCGAACACGTGAGACACTGGACTGAGCCACTGAAATTGTATCCTCCCTTTTTCCTCGAGAGGCCAGTCTTTTCCCATTCGGAGAACGCGGTTTCGTTATCCTGCGAGGACGGTCACGTCGTACGAGCCATCGTCGTTGCGAGAGATACAAAGATATGCGGGACCCAGAACGAAGATATTTCTATGTAGCGTTATAAGTAAGAGAAAAAACACTGACATTGAAAAAAGCAGAAAGAAGGGAGGCATGATATAATAGAGCGTTACGGGAGAGTGTGCGTGAAAGGGGTGAGTATGCATGAGTATATTGCTGATCGGGAAAGCGATGATGATAATTATTATTATTATTATTATTATTATTATTATTATTATGTAAATAGTTCATCGCGATATCTCTCTCTTTCTCTCTCTTATTTGCCATCGTCGCGAGATTCTTTCTTCTTTCGTTTCGTATCGCAAGATGCAATGCGAACAAGCGAATTTAGATCATCGTTTAACATCATGTTGTACAGTGAACTCGGGAGAGGAATCGCCAGCGGTGTCGCGAGTCTGTAGAACGTGGGATCGAAGGAATCCTCGGCGAAGGAATTCGTTCTGCGACGTTAAAACACTTTTGGAAATCGCGAATCCCGTTCTCGAATTCACTACGTACATCAAATAGGAATGAGATTCTCAGCAGCCACGAATCTCCACCGATGTCTCCTTCGTCTCACCCATTTTGTCTTATCTTTCTTTTTTTTTCCTCTTCGGAGGGAGAACAGCCTCGAAAAGCGAGAGAAAAATTAATAAATGGTGTGGCTTGTAAATATGATATACACGTGTAGAAAGTAAGGCCGAAGCTATGGAATTCAACGGACACGTTCTTTAAAAAAAAAAATATATATATATATACGCATCATCGCACCGCACACGTGCCGATGCACATTCACATGAACACACACACACACACACACACACACACACACACACACACACACACACACACACAATTTTATAAAGTGGAATCTCGCTGCGCTTAAAAGTAAAAACAAGGGAAGGGAAGGCGAAACGGAGCGGAAAGCGGCGCGTTTCGCGTGCGAGAGGACAAACACTTTGTATGCACCGCCCCCATTGTTCATGCCCATTTGTATTGCGTAGTTGGACCGATCGGTGATTACGGGTCGGTTACGAGATACTATTATAAATATATAAATATATGTATAAATATGTATGTGTATGTACAAATATATATACGTATATATTTATATCTATATATATGTATATGTATATGAAAAGCAAGACAGAAATGAAACTACTGTAACTACACCTGCCTCTTGTGAATAAATGCCTATTTGTTTCTTTTCACGTGTCTCGTTATTCCCAGCTTACTGGAAGAACGAATCATGCGGCAATGGAGCGAGGTAAGCTGGACCGCCAAAGGAGCGAATTGATGCAAATGGATCGCAGACTATGGACAAAGGAGCTGAACGGAAGCGCAAGAACAGAGTTCGTAAAACAGAGTTTTATTAAATAAATATCGTCGCCGCAGTTGATCAGATCGAAGAATTATACAATTATTATACAGTTTCGATGCTCGTACGCTCGCTCTTCGAAGAAGGAAAACTAATGTACAAACGATTCGCGCGACGCACGCACGCTTGCTTTAATGTAATGTCCGTGAAAAATCACACGTGCCATCAAATGTACGCGTCGCGTCATGGCTCCTCAAGATCGATTATTCTGCCCAAAATGCGGAATCTTCAAGGAGCGTTGATTACAGTCACCGATTTGATTTAATATCATCCGTAAAAATATTCCAGTGATATTGCACTATCGTCGTGTTAAAATATCAAATAATCAGGGCTAAATCGATCAATCTTCATCTCCGTAATCATTCTTGATTACTCATTATATCGATATGGATAATTTATTGGTCCTGTCGGACGGAACGATGGACGGATAGCAATTAATCCTGGTCGATTGAGTCGATAAAAAGTCATTCAAGTTAAGTTGATAGGACTACCTTTAAGTACATATTTGCATATAATAATTTGCACAAATAATTTACACAAATTTATATAAATATTCGTATAAATTACCATTTCGTTCTCGCGATTTAATCGTTGAGGAATTTAAAAAACAATTCTTTTTCGAATTTTACTCTAACGATCGTTCATCGCGGAAGTAACGTGTTCGTAACGCATGTTAAAGGAAAGTCTTCCTCGATTCTAACGTAAGACACAGTGTATCACAATCGTTTCGTATCGAGAGAAATTCGATAGCTCCGCGTCACGGAAGAAACGGAGCGAGGAACAGTTGAGTGAATCCGTCCGGGGTTTCATTATTCGTCGTGCCGATGGCGAAGCTGTTTCGAAATAAAGAGTTTCCATTCAGAAGTCGTTCTTACCGTGGAAAACGATTCGTTCCACGATGACGAGAATGACAAGACGCGTTCTTACGCGCGAGGGAAAAAACGGCTTTGCTTTGCCGACTTTACATCAGTCTTGTCGAGATATTAAACCCCTGCGTTCTTTCGTCATCTTTCGAACGATGAATGTTTCCCCGCATGAAGCAAGAGACCATGGAACTCACTTTTGATCGCAGTTGATGGTCCCCCTGATCTTTCGAGAGCGGACGACGAAACGCGATGAAAGAGCAAAATTAGAAAAATGTCCGCGAAAAATTTTCCTGAGCTAGAAACGTCAGTTAGACGTGTCGAAAATTTATTTGTCGGGGAGAAAAGTTCGTAACGGAATTTTAATATAGGGAGGGAACATCAACGATGACTTTTTCGATGAGACGGATTTGTCCATTTCGCTGACTCCATTAACGATCGGCGTCGCGACTCAATTTTTATACCATTAACATTTTTCGCATGAACGGTCTACGAAGTGAATGACATCCGCCGGATTACATCGATTGAGCTGCTTAAAAAAATGATCGAGAAAAGTGATCTCGAGACGAAGAAGAAATACTATAACGACGATGTTGGATGTGTGTCGAGTTGCGAAAGCGTTTTTGGGAAAGAACAGCTTGCAACTTTCCCCGGCTAAGGAATTGTAGAAAGTCGGACGTTCCTGTTTCTGCGAGTGACGCCACTTAAATTCGAATTACAGTTTCGACACGAGCATCAGCACCGACGTAATAGCATCCCCGGGGAGTCTCGTGAGTAATGCCGATGTCACATGTTATGCGCCGAGATACTTGAACGTTCGTGTCAAGATAAATCTCGATGAGTGCGCACGAGTCTAGACAAAGTCCGGTTTCATTCGAGTTGCTAATTTTAATTACGCAAAGTCGCTAGTTTGAGCTTAGTCCAAATTGCCCATCGCAATATGCGTGATGTAAGGAGCATCCTTTAAGATGATCCTTTAGCGGAGCATATATCTAAGTCTTGTTTTCACTCATCTCGAGATCTTTATATTGAACGGTTATTAAAAAACTCCTAAATTCAGGCTATCCTCTTTTCGATTAATGTCCTCTTTACACGAGATAGCCGCGCAGGAACCAGAAGTTTAAGTCTACATCAGTCGCGATCGCTCGGCTCAATGCAGCGAAGCCATCGCGCTGCGTCACTTTCGTCAAAAGAGGCCGAACATCTTCTTCGCCGGTCCGGTACTCCTCTTCTTCCTGGCCGGCGCCGACACGTCCGAGTTCTCGCCGTTCCTCGTGGCAATTAGTTGCGAGGCCGGGGTAAGTTTGCTTCGCACGTGCTCGTCCAGGAGTGCCTGCATGTCCATCTGCCATTGCTCCAGCTGCTGGCTGAGTTCAACCTTCTGCTTGATCGCCTCCTTCAGCTGACTGTCCGCCTGCAGGATGTCTATCCGTGTCCTGGCCAGCTCCACCTCCACCCTGTTCTGCCGTGCCACCGCCTGATCCCGCACCTTGTAAGCTTTCGCCACGATCTCGTCCTTCGTCAGCTCGGAGTGCTCGATGTCACATCTCGCCCTGTCACGTTCCTCCTTGACGCCACGCAATTCAGCCTCGGAGACGCTCAGCTTGCTCGTCAGCTCCAAGATGGCGTCGCCGCGTCGCTTCAGCTCCTCCTCCTGTATCCTGCACTGCTCTCTTGAGTTCTCCAATTCTTCCCGTACCCTGTGAAGCTCCACTGCTAATCCCAATTCTCCTGGTGCTCCTCTGCCGGACAGCGCCAGGTTGTAGACTTCTTCGACCAGCTCCAGCAACGCGCCAGGACAATTCGTCTACAAAGGTAATAATTAAAACAATAAATAGATATTCATTCGAATTGATATTTTAAACTAATGTTAAATGCGTAATAAAAATTAAATGATGTGTGAAGAGAGTTGTTTACCGGCGAAGAGTGAGTCTCCCGTTCGTTGGTGCTCACTTCCTCGGAGTTGTTGACATTGATTACCAGCATGGACTCGTCGCAATCACTCTGCAGGCCTGAATCATCCTCACCACGTCTTAAATGAGCGCATAGCTCCCTCAGTCGTTTCGTCGCCCTCGCAACTTCCGTTCTCAGGCTCCCGTCCTCGTGTTCTCCAAGCGAGCTGCCACTCTCCTCGCACTCCATCTCCGCTTGCAAAGACCGCGGCGGTTTCTGTATCGAGCCGGACCGGGTTCTCCTTTCTGCCTCGATGGCCGCCAATGCCGACGCCAGTTCGTCTCTGGAAGGATGTGATGGTGTTACAAAGGAAACACCCTCGAGAAAATTAACCAAAATATCTTTCGCGTTTATGAAATATTTTTATCTCAAATTTGATTGGAATAGACATAAAATGAAGATAACGAAAAAAGTACAACGAATAGAATATTATTCGCTTATACTTGAGGAATATGGCCGTTGGATTTTGGGAGTAGAATTTGGGACTCGAAAATATTTAACTGTGAGCGGATCGTGCTCAATCGAGCGTTGTCTCCGTGTGTTAACCGAACCATAATGGCCACGTATACAGAAGTATCGAAGAATTTCTGGCCTCACCTCTCCTGCTCGGCCACTCTCGCGCGGTGTTCCGCTTCGTGGCTGAGCCGCTCCAAGGCCGCGGCTCTCTCCTCGGCTTCCTCGAGGGCGGCGATCGCCCTGGCCCTCTCCTCGCGCAGCTCCAAGGATCGCCTCTCTAGCTCCGTCCTTTGTGCGGATACCAGTTGTACCTGAAATAGTCATATGGGAGATTTACGACGTGATGATTTAGCGATTTCATTTCTTTGTTTGTTTCTAAATCGAGGCTTAATTTCGGTTTCATTTTTTTGAAACCTACTTAAAGTTGAAAGCAGGGGAATAAAACACAATGTCAAATGTCGTGAACTCGTGAAATTTATTTTACATATTGTTATTATTTTATACTGATTTATCTTTATACATATTCTAATATCTAATTCGTATGCGCGTCACGAACGATCCCTAAAACTCGACATCTGGCCGCCATTGTTGAGGCGAGAATGAAAGGACGACGGAACGAGGCAAAAAATCGGATCGACCGACGAGGGTCACGTTCATTTTTATTCCCGATGATAGCGTTTTCCCAGAGATTGTGCGCGTAAATTCACGTGCGAACGCGAGCAGCGATTACCGCTTCCTTTTTATACGAAGGATGCTGCGAATTATTCAGCAAGCCCCGCCTGAGAACCGCGTTTGACTTCCGATGAATAATGATTAATAACGATAGCTTCCGTTCCGCGCGTTGATTAGACGGAAAGGAAATTCCAGCGAGAAATTTATTAATATTAGAGGAGAAGAAGACACGTCTTTATATGCAAAAAGGGATTAACCATGCCCGCGTGTGAAATGCGATCAAGATTAAAAATGCATATCTACCTCGTCCCTGAGGATCTCCAGGCTGCTGACGTGATCCTGCAGAGTGGTGTTCCTGAGAGCGCATTTTTCCCTCAACACCTTCACCTCCACGAGCAACTGCTCTTCCTGTTTGGCGGCCTCCCTCAGTTGATCGGCCAACCTCGTGTTTTGCGCCGTCAGCTCCGCGACGAGGGTGGCTTGGTCGCGTTCCGCCCTCCTCGCCCTCTCATTTTGCTCCTCCAACTGGCTTCTGAGAGTCTCCACGTCGGCTTGGAGCTCCAACGCCCTCGCATCGCTCTCATCTCTGGCCTCTTCGAGTCTTCTTCGCAGTAAATGCCTCTCCTGTTCCAAATTCTGCGTAGAAAAGGCCGAATTGATTAGCGATTTCTCTCTCTCTCTCTTTCGCGTGATAATTTTGCGCCTAAATCGACTCGAATGACGCAAATTTCCGCGTCGAAAAGGCATTTTAACATTTAAAAGGACTCCGGCACAAAGACTCGCTTATCCCTTTCACGAAATCGGTGTCTTACGTCGCGCGCGAACGTCATTCGGCGAACCGAGAGGAAAAGAGAAAAAGAAATCCGCGGCGTGAGTCAGTGAACATAAATAATGTTTCTTGACGTCCGTGCCTACGCACACGAGATCCCGATGGTGCAGCCAGATAGAGTTTGAGGTGAAAGGAGCTCGCAAATTTATTAACATACAATTAGACGCACAATTTGACCATTTAGCCGACTATCTCACTTTCCTTTTCTTTAAAAAAAAAAAAAAACCAGGCCTTTGCTTTCCACGAGATTGAAGAGTGAGCACGGCTAACGTTTCTTTCTTTCGAGTCGTCGGATCGCGAGTTAAAGCAAACCGAGGAGGGGGGAAGGAACATTGAAAAATATTTGTACTTCGGCGTAAGATCGGCTGGAAACATCTCCGCCGATAGAGGTGCGAACACGATGCTTTTGTGCATAACAAAAAGGACGCGATACGAGAACTGGTTTTCTTGCGGGTACATACGACGAGCGATGGCCACACACGTGAGTCGCTTTGTTCCCACGTGGAATTTCTCAACCCGATGCTCGATAACGCGTCGCGCCAGTAATAAGACGTAACAATCGTAAAAACACGGGCGGATTCCAAATGAAGCGTTAGCATTAATTAGTTCTATTTACCAAGTGTGATAATCCTCTGTTAATTAGCCGCGGTACCAAAAGCGACGTAATTTGCGCAATTGTATCCCAAACAAAGGCACCGAGATAACGCTTCGTACTTTTTGCTTTTTGTCAGCGACTCACCTTTGTAAATAATTGTTATTAGATAATTACGAAATAATATGATATATTTAAATAATAATTAAATAATATAATAAATATTTTATGAATGATTATAAATAATTATTAAAATAATTATTAAAATAATTATTAAAAATAATAATGATTACATATTTACATCATTTATAAGTAATAATTACGAATAATTTATTTCGACATTTGTTATTTTTTTGTATTGTCGAATATATTTGCGACCTTGCAATCGCGAATTGGATCAATATCGTATGACAATCAAGATTAAACGTTTTCCTACTTCAAATGATAATCGACAATCACAAGATAAGATAAAATATAACTAAGGTAAATGCAGCTCTGATGATAAAATATTATCGTGCCAACAAATACACTGTGACGTAATTGCGAATTCAATTCAATGTCAAAATGATGTTATCGATCCATATTGACAGAGTTGAAATTACGACGCTGTCGTTCTGAATATGCTACCAAGAGAATTTTATATATTTTATTATCTGACAGGAGCTGGCAGATCGCCAGACTATTATCGATTTGTCAAACGTTATTTTCGTAGTATTCATACGAAATATATAAAGCATACAGTGGATAGAAAAACAATGTGCTTTGCGTACAAGAAGCTTGTTGTTGGCGAGGTTTATCGAGTTGGAAAGCACAGCCTTGGTCTCCCATGGTTACTCATCGACCGATCGCCAGCATGCCCGCATGCAGGTCTACAGTTCACCGATCCTTAAAGTCCTTAAAGCGAGAGGCCAACAAACAATAGAAATATTGTAGAAAACGAAACGAGGCATTTTTGCCGGATATATCGGAATAATTAACTTGTTATCCGTACGTTTCGATAATCAACAGCGTTCAACAAAACAATAATTTATCTGTTTAAAATTGATGACTCGTAATATCCGTGGTCCAATCCAATTATGCGTCATGTTTTATTTTGAAATATTTCAGTTGCAATGATTTAATTGATATCCGCACAAGTTTTTTTGAAGTGTGTGAGTAGAATATAATTTTCAGTTGTTTGGAAATTTAAAAAAAAAAATGTAATATTAAGTGAAGTATTAATATTATACTTTTATATAAAACAAGATGGGAAAGAAATGGAGACTGGGATAAATTCTGCGCGATCGAATCAAGCTGATGCAATTCCAGCCGAGGCCAATGGGTTTAATTAGCTTGACAAGAGCGTACGCCACGTGTTTCTGCATCGCAACCCTCGACTTGATCATGAATCATGTATCTCTGCCGTGCCGTTCTCCAAGTTTCGATGCGACGCCGTGTAACACAAATACGCCACCAGCCAGAAATACCGGTGCCCGGCGGAAACGGAGACGCGTTGAAGTTTCTCGAGTGCGATGAGTCACACACTCTCATGCCGCCACGATTTTTGCGGTCCCTCGGTCACGTCCTCCAGCGACCGAACCGCTCGTGGTGCACGCAAGCGGATCCGAAACGACGAGCAACGAATTGCAGAATGTGTTTGGAGCACCTCGGATATTTATTTTTTTTTTTTTTTTAGTATCGCGCTGTAAGTTCCGTTACCGGGTCTATCGTATCAGATCGACGCCTCGATATAGATCGCGAAAATTTCCGAGGGAACGCGATCGAGGGAGATGAAATATAGGGATGGATTGCCGTCCGCGCCCTTGTCCGCTTAAGCCCGTACGGCCGCTATTTGCTAAACATTATCGAGCGTATCTATTTGTTGGTGACAGGCAATGAGTCACAGATCCGTGACATCGTCGTCCTCGGCGGACTTGGCTGCATTCTGCAATTTGCAAAATACTATACGCCGCACGCGAACACGTGCACTCGCGAGTTAATTGCACACGGTTGCGTCTCCACGAGCGGAGTTTAATGCCGTTGCCAAGTGAGAGACGATCCAGCAGTCGTGACTCACGACTGCGGTCCCTGTCTGATTTCCAATCTTCCGCTCGTCCCGCTCTTGCGACACGTCGTGAACGGCGTCGGCGGATCGATGATTGAAACGGCGACACATCCAGCGTATGTAAAAATTGAGAAAATCGCGACCATATATCATCGCGAAAAGCCGTGACTGGCACGGGACACATTATTGTCTTTGATTTAACCGATTCTTCGTACCTTCCGTGCTCACGTGTCATAACTATGATCAAAACATACCAACTCCAAAACTACAATCAAAAAAGAGATCTTCTATAAAACTTTTAAAGCTTAATCAAAGGGAGAACTTGGCAGCTGACTTTTTTTCTCAATTACTTAGGAATTTCATATAATTGTATATCGCTTAGTTGATATTTTTTAAATTTTCTTATCATTTTACAATTTATCATTATTTTATTATTATTATTATTATTATTAATTTTACAATCTTTTGCGTTTTGTTTAAATTTTGGTATCTGGCTATACGAAATTCTTTCCTAAAATTCGCAATTTTAAGTACTGCTGATGAAAATTAACACGAATTCGACAAAAGAGATTCGAAACCAGATTTAGAGCCGGACTCTAGAAGAGAGCTCTCGAGGTGCGAGCGTTCTCCATTGAAACACGCCGTCTCGGAGCGTTCTGAAACGCTTTCGTTTGCCGTCGTAAAGTCGCGCGATCGCGACGAAACGGATATTTCGCTCTTATTGCAAAACGCGCCGATCTCCGGCCCGCGTTCGATCTAATTACACGGTAGGACGAAGTGAGACCACCGTGGCGCAAATGCTTGCCAAGACGTGCGGTCTAATGGACACCCTCTCCGTGGTTTTCCGCTCCGCCAGATCGCTGTACCGTCCCAAAGAAAGGGAAAAGACACGCCTTGAAACCGAGCTGCCTGAGAAACTGCCACTGTTTTGACTCCAAACGGAGTCAAAAAATTTCAAGCTCAGTGTCAGACGTAACGTTCTCTATCACCTTGAAATAACTGTAAAACCTTTCTCCGTCTATATCGTTATTCGTCATCGTATATTCATTTATCATTCCCTCGCAATTCCCATTGTAAGTTCCAACGATCGATTACTAGCTAGCCTGTTCGCAGCGAAGATTTTTCGTAGAGAAAACGACGCGCTATCTCGGACGGTGGGTCGGTGCAACCCGTGGGAAAAAGTGAAGTTCCGCAGATAATTGCGAATTAATCGCCATTATATTCCCGTGACGTTGCGGCCCGGTCAGTCGGCCCGACGCGCAGGCATTATTGCGTCGCACTTTGTTCACTTTCCCTCGAAGAAAACGATAATGCCGAGCGCGCGCAATCGGACGGAGCAACATAGAAGGTAGGGAGGTCCATAATCGCGAGGCAATGGCCTGTGACGAGTCCGGCGATGATCGTGAGCTAGCGCAACCGGGTCCATCCGTTACGTGGTGGAACGAACGTAAACCCGGCAAAAACCGACGTAGACGGAACGGCAGAACGGATTGTCTTTCATCACAAAGAAAAAAAAGGTGCTGAATCTAAGCAATGTTTCGTTGAGATCTTCTCGAATTTTTTAAATGTATGTACAGAGGAAAAAATTAATCTTAGATCGAGACAAATTTTCTCATATATAAGCAAAAATATTATAATTTTCTTGAAAAAAAAAAATTTAGTCTTAATTTAATTGAATTTGTATTAATGCAAGTATTACTTTTGTTCAGCTTAAGATTAAAATTCTTCTATGCATGAAGCGTGGGCATATCAGGAAGAAGGAAAGGGGGTTAAACCTTCCGAAATTTTTTATTTATTTTTTCATTTTTAATGATAAAATACAATTTTACTTTTGACAATTAAAATTTTTTATTATCACATAAAATATTATTTTGTCGCTGTTACGACCATGTAAAATTTTTGAAATTTAGTTGCGTCGATGAATTTTTGAAAAAAAGGAAAAAAAGAAGAAAAAATAAAAGTTATGATTTACAAAATCGAATATTTTTCTTATTCAAAATCAGGAACGAGGAGATTTAAAAAGCTTTAAAATATCCAAAAAAGCAATTCATTAACACAAAAAATTGCTGTTTATATATTAACAGATTCCCTTCCTCTGAAAAGAAAATTCTGGATGCGCTCATAAAGATTATAATAGTCTTGTTTAAATATGAGAATATATAGTCTTAATT